AAAAAAAAAAAAAAAAAAAAGATGGGCTAAAAGAAACACAAAACCAGGCATAGACATTTTTAGTAAAGCCAACATTTATTATGTGCACAAAATCTGCCCAGGAAGGGGAAAGCAGCTTATCAAAACTACCGACTCACTCAGGATAACTTTTAAATTAATAACATTCTGAGGCCAGGTGTGGTGGTTCACGCCTGTAATTCCAGCACTTCGGGAGGTTGAGTCTAGCGGATCCCTTGAGCCCCAGGAATTCAAGACCAGCCTGGGCAACATGGTGAAACCCCATGTCTGCAAAAAGTACAAAAAGTAGCCTAACATGGTGGTGTGTGCCTGGAGTCCCAGCTACTTGGGAGGCTGAGGTGGGAGGATCACCTGAGCCTGAGCAGTCAAGACTTCAGTAAGCCCTACCTCAGAACAAAAAGAAAAAATTCTGAGGAACTGCATTTTATCTGTTGAGTTTCAATAAATTATTTTGTTATGATTTTGAAAGATACACATAGCAATTATACAATTTGTTCATTTCGTTGAATAATTTGTCTTTGGACCATTTTAAAAATTTAGCAGTAGCTCAGTTATATTTCTGTAACATACCTTTCAAAATGACAAGCAGTGTGTTTATCTTGAAGAGAGAAAACTGCATGCACTGATAGTGCCCGCCCCACCTCGGCTTGGAAGGAGGGAGGCGGGGAAAATCTAATGGTGGAGCACACAAGTGCACCACAGTCTTCATAAAATAACCAGCTCCAGCACTTTGGGAGGCTGAGGTAGGCAGATCACCTGAGATCAGGAGTTCGAGACCAGCCTGGCCAACATGGTGAAACCCCTGTCTCTACTAAAAATACAAAAATTAGCCAGGTGTGGTGGCGCACACCTGTAGTCACCGCTACTAGGGAGGCTGAGGCAAGAGAATAGCTTGAACCTGGCAGGCGGAGGTTGCAGTGAGCCAAGATTTAGCCACTGCACTCAGCGAGACTTTATCCACCTCAAAAATAAAATAACCGGCTCCTACCTCCCAAGGCTAAATGGAGGACTGACCCAGAGAGTGGTTTAAAACCTTCCCACATTGTCTGGAGTTTAGCAACAGTGTTAACTTTTTTTAGTATGAAAATCGAAGTATCCGTTCACCTTGGTGTAAATTGTTCTGTAGGAGCTGCTTCTCCAGATTCGTTGCCTTATTTGCAGAGAGAACTGGCCCAGGTGAAGTGAATGAGAAATGTGTATAGAAGGCTGCACACGGTGGCTCACGCCTGTAATCCCAGCACTTTGGGAGGCCGAGGCAGGTGGATCATCTGAGGTCAGGAGTTGCCAGACACGGAGCAGTCGTGGCTAGCGATTGTGGTCATAAAGTCGAATGGTCGTAAGTTGCATAGGTGATAAGTCGATCAATACCTGTATGGCTTTACCACTGATAAGTTACAATGATACAGTTCTAGATTTTGAATGTCTGTAACTGTGGGGGTACCAATCTCCTATTCTTGCTGTTTAGGCTATTTCCAGCATTTTCCTTGGTGTACACAAATGCACCCTTGTCCAGGTATTTCTTTTTTTTTTTTGAGACGGAGTTTCCCTCTTGTTACCCAGGCTGGAGTGCAATGGCGCGATCTCGGCTCACCGAAACCTCTGCCTCCTGGGTTCAGGCAATTCTCCTGCCCCAGCCTCCTGAGTCGCTGGGATTCCAGGCACGCGCCACCATGCCCAGCTAATTTTTTGTATTTTTAGTAGAGACAGGGTTTCACCATGTTGACCAGGATGGTCTCGATCTCTTGACCTCGTGATCCACCCGCCTCGGCCTCCCAAAGTGCTGGGATTACAGGCTTGAGCCACCGCGCCCGGCCTTTGTCCAGGTATTTCATTAGGAAAACGTCCCACCTCAAGTGGCTTGAGCCTTTTAAACCCCAGTATAACGTGTAAAAATTGTTCTCAATGAGAGAGACTTGGAATGCAACACCTTGATCTCAGATGGGAAGACTCGGGGCTGTAAAGATCCTTCTCGTCTCATACTGTTCTAGAAATGACTTGACCAAATTCCTGAGTGAATTCTTGGAGGGGAGCAAGACAACACTAATCTAAAGTAGATCTCATGACGTAACAACCGTCTGATCTTTTCTTTTGCTGCTGTCATTTTCATTGTCATTGACTAAAGCTTTCCACAGTTGGTTTCTGTTACTAGCAACTAAAACTCAATTCAGCAAAACAGCATATTAAGAAAAAAAGCTCAGCTGGGCATGGTGGCTCATGCCTGTAATCCCAGCACCCAAAAAAGAAAGAAAAAAAGCTAATTGGGGAAAAACATTAATTGCAGAAAAAAAACATTAATTGTGCCGCTTGTGACAAGTGGTAGGATGATAGCCAAAATGCAGAGAGAACTCACAAATCAAGAAGGAAAAGCTGAG